TTCAAAAATCGGTTCAAAATCCATGGAATTTTTTTATGTTTGGAGACTGAGTCTTAGACGATCCTTTGGCTTATCTATTGGATAGTCATAGCAAGGGTCAAAATAGGCAGTATATTTTCAATAATTTCAGAGGTGAAAATTTATATGATCCAAAAGATTACCTTAGATCCATTGGCCTTATTTACAGAACATAAAAATTGCCAAGGAACCCAATTGCATCTTAGAAACCCAAAGAGTAATTGAGTTTTTCCTAACGCCGACAATGATAGAAATGGTTTTAAAAATATTTCTCTAGACAAATTTATCAGAATAAAAATAATGATTAGAATGAAAATGGAACACAACATTTATGAACTGCTCTTTTAACAAAAATTGTATAGAGGCAAAAAAGTTACAAAAAGTTTAAAAAGTTTTTAGGTCATCTTCCCTTTTTTGAAAGGAATATTGCAATATTGCTTCAAAGCTATTAGTTAACTACGACAAAGTAAAAATGTTTAAAAAATCAGAGTTATAAAATTTGGTTAAAATTTTTAAGTTAAATCACAAATATTAATAAAATTCCAAAATTTTGTTAAAATATTTATAGAATTCATTGATTTCCTGTGAAATTCCAATGAAATAAGAAATCATAGAAAAATAGCCAAAAATATAGGGATGAAATCTTAAGTTTCGTGAAGCTGAGATGGGTAGGAGCAACTTAAAATGTCGGTCAAGAACCATTCCTTACCCTATCCCTCGTAATTTCTGAAAGTTAAAATCGTTTTCTGAAATTTTTGAAAATTGACTACAACTTTCAGAAATTTCGAGGGATAGGGTAAAGAATGGCGCCCCAGATCAAAGCGACGTAAGTCACGAACATGAAGAAATGTTTTGGAACAATACACCAACTTTGCAACAAAAGAAAAATCGAGTTTTCTGTTGATTGGACGCATAAAATTCATTGGACCATAAACTAGACCAGCGTAGAATATTCATCAAACAACGCCGATTCTTTCAAAATTGTTAAAGTACTTTAAGAAAACGTTAAAAAATTTCAAAATTTGCATCGTTTTCTTTATACATATCTACTTTTTCTTAAGCGACATTACAAAATTAATATTTGCACTTTAAGTCAAATGACACGAGTTTTGATTAGTCGATCACTTTTACGCTCTGATTGATATGCCCTTCTCTATACGCTTAGATTTCTTTAATATATAGATAATACGTTATTCATTCTTTATTAAATTGGGAAAAAAACTTGCTATTAAATTTTTTGAACAATGACTAAAAAATAAGGCCCATTTTGTGAAAAATTGTCAAAAACGTTCTAATGTTACCGGCCATGCTGTAATTTTCTAAATTTCAGATGATTAAATTTAATTTTATCATTTACATACATTTAATTATATTTTTGAAAATTCAATGCGCCGGTAAATCCTTTCATGTTGGTGTAAAAATTAGAGATGATTGGAAAGAAAAAAGAGAATTTATTTATTTAAATAATGTTAAAATAAAGGATCGTTTTGTGTTGAAAGTAATTGAAAAACAAAATAATCAACACAATAGTTTTAATAAAGATATAGAAGGATATTTGCATTCAATTGAGATGAATCTAGATAAAGATATGTTTGAAGTTAAAATAAATGATAGATCTGAATATATTCCCTCTGATCAATTAAAAAAGAAAATTTTGATTGAAATTACTAATAATAAAATAATTCAAAATTTTCTGCATGGGCCTGAAAAAATGGTATATTTTTATCAATAAAATTTTAGTTCCATAGTGTAAGAATTGCTAGTAAATAAACAAGTAAAAGCAAGGAAATATAAATCGGCCTCTATACCTACTCTAATTTGTGTTTAATTCAAGGTACTCCAAAATAATAATTTTATTGAAAATATTAATTGTTATGAAACTTCAATATTGTACAAAAGTGAAAATAATGTTAGCTTGATTGGAGAAAGTTTAGAAAATTACAAAAACAAACTTTTATCAAGTTATTGGACTGAAATTAATTTAATTGGATATAAAATTGAATTGCTAGAAAAACAAAAAGTTGAATATCCAAAGGAAGAATTAAAAAGTAGAATTATTTACATCGGCAGTGAAATAAGTAGTGTTTAAATTTTTATTTGTTTATATGCCTAAAAAATATACATATTATTCTTTATTATTATAGGAGGAATAATTGAAGGAAATAAACGAAAGTGTTTCAATTGTAGAGTCACACAAACAAATAATTGGTATAGATACCTAAAAGAACATTATTTGTGTCATCCATGTCACGATTATAAAATATATAATGCTAAAATGAAACCTGAAGCTAAACTGGTTTAAATTTATTCATATTATAATGAAACATATGAGTAGTGAAACATATTTTATCTGAGAGCTTTTATCAACTCCTATTTTTATAAATATTTTAGCAAATCACAAATGATCGAAAATGTTTTACTTGCGGAGCAACAAAAACTTCAAGGTGGTACCGTCATTCAAAACCTGAACACTATAGTTGTGGTACGTGTTACAAAAAACAATATAGAATGATTAAGAAAACAAATAAAAATCAAACAGAACAGGAATCGATTAAATAGTATTTAAATGATTATGATTTTCTAGCTTTAATTTTCTGAGTTTATTGAACAAATTATAAAACTTTAAAAAATATAAACTAGGTATATTATGTATATATCTTTGAGAAACTTTTAGCGCCGCACGCAAAAATTTTGAGAAATTTGGGGCCTTAAGCCAATTTGTTCCATTTTTGCGCCTCATATTAGAAGAATAACAGGATTTGAGCATATAGTAGGTTCCCAGATATCCTTACAAATCCCCAATATATTTTTAAATCCATCTTAATCCCAGTAAATCAGCCGATATTCTTCTAAGTCAACTGATCTTTCCCTTAACCACTCTTTATACATCCTAATTTTAACACCGCATGCGAAAATTTTAAAAATTTTGGAAGGCTAAGAAGCCAGATTTCTTCAATTTCGTCCGGTATATTTTTGCGTTTTTTGTGTTGATTTCGTCGAAAAAAAAAACGCAAAACGCAACGCAAGGCCAAAATTTAACGCAAGACGCAATGCGCTCATTCCTGGTTCCAATGAAATAAGAAATAATAGAAAAATAGACAAATAGACAAAAATATAGGGGTGTAATCTCAAAAATTTCGCGAAGCTGAGATGGGTAGAGTTTAAAATTATTCTATCGACAGCTTGTAGGATCTACGAGATCCAAACAATGGGCATGTGTTAATCAAAGTATATTAAATATTCGTGATGCAATTAAAGAAGTAATTGCTTCATAATTTCCATTTTGGAAATTATGAAAATTTTGGAGGGGCCCTAAAATAAATTAGGTAATGTATATTCGCGAAATAAGAAGTAAATTTAAAAAAATAATTAATCAAAATAAATCAAACTCAAAGAAAAAGACCTTTCAAATTTAAGAAATTTAAGCAAAAATCTTTTACTCTTAATAATCAGTGACAGAGAATTTAAAAATAAATTTAAATATTTAATATAAACAAAAACTTCTTTTAAAATGGTTCTACTTTAATGAACAATTTAATTTTCAAAAAATTCTTTTGTTCGTTTTGATTAATTTTTAAATTTAATCCAAGGTTACCCCTCCTTTACCTTATTTTTAATTAACGTCATAAAAAAGCGTGGAGAGGGAATGCATTTGTAATCAACTACTAAAATTCTTTTAAATTTTGCTGAGAAAATAAAGCCTATAAATAGAGAAGATGTTCACACTTAATAATCATAAAATTTTATATTAAACTTCAAAAACCTTCTCTAAAATAAATTTAAAAATGTCTACTTTTTGCTTTTTGTTAGTAGTTGCTATAATTGCTCAAGTTATTGTCTCGTTGCCTATTGCTGATAAAACAGTGTAAGGCTTAATTTTTTTATATTTCTGGCGTAAATTAACTGATAAGCGCCACAGATTAAGAATCAAGCCTGGGCTTTATGACTATAATTTCTCTTTAAAATAGATCTTAAACCTCTATCTGAGCTTTAGTCAGCTGGATCTTCCTTTCCTAAATTATAACTTGTACTAGGATTTTTTCCTAATTTTTTATTTAGCCAAAAGAGACATGCCGCACCAGTTTATGTAGCACCTGCATATCATTATGCTCCGGTATTTTTTTAATTTTATAGAATTTCTTGTAAATTCAAAAAATTTTACGTTAAAGGGATTCAATTAAGGATTTTAAGATTACGGCAAAAATTTATTATTAAAATTTAAAAATAAATCTTTTTAAAAATTAAACAAGATCACTCGATAATAATTTAAAAATATTTTTTTAAAGTCTGGCCTAGCAAGTTCTAGCTTTGTTTCTGGTGGTGGTGGAAGTGGAGGAGGAATTCAAAGTGTAATAGGTGGTGGCTATGGCCTTCCTGGATCTTCCTTTGTTGCTGGAGGAGGAGGAGGCAGTGGAGGTGGTGGAATTCAAAGCGTTATTGGAGGGGGATCTTCACTTGTTGCTGGAGGTGGTGGTTATGTACATACTGCAGGATATGGCCATGCGGGATACGGATATGGAGGATATGGGTATGGAGGATATGGATATGGAGGAAAATAGACAAAGAATAAATGATATAGAAAACAAAAATTTTCTAAATTTAAATATTTAATTGTAATTTAATGAATATATATTAAATTTGAATATTATTGAATAAGAGGCTTTTCTCCTAACTTATATTGAGCAATAAGTTTTATCGGCCTAGCATCTTATTGGCATTACTAATTTAAAGTTGTACATGTCATTCATAAGCTTGATGCTTATCTCTTTTGCCATGTTTAAGCGTTTTTTTGAATTTAAAATTTTGTAGGCATACGCGGATAAATAATGATATGGTCGGCTAGGTCAAGAGTAAGATTTTAATAAAATGAGGTTTTACTAACTAAGGTCCCTCTAAATAGTATCTAATCTTTAATATTAAAAAAACAAATTTATTAATAATTAAAAATAAATTTAAAGTAAAAAAATCAAACAAAAATATATTTAATTATTAACTTCTTCTAATCTAATATTTGGTGGAGGTAATGAAGGAAGTGGAGGAGGTAAAGGAATTAAAGGAGGAAAATTAGCCATTGTTGGTGTGCCAAGATAACGTTGTTGGGATAAAAAGTCTGTGCTGGAAGTTGGACTTCTATTAAAAAATAAATTGATTTAAAAAATACAAAATACTTTTAATTTTGGTTAAATTCGGAAAGAGAATAAAAATAGAGATAACGATTTTTTCCTTTCAAGTCCTCCCCATTCTTAAACAGGTAAATTAAAATGCCTATAATTTTTGATTCCAAAAATATTTTAAAAATTAATTTTTAAAAAAGAATTTACAATATTCTTTCCTCAAAAGGCGTTTGATTTGTTCTGTCATTAACAAATAAATCTCTGGTTGCATAATGTAGAAGAGAGGGTCTTCGAATTGTGGCTATTGGAAATTGTTGCTTACTGAAATGTTGGGAAAATAAAATTAAAAGAGAGAGAGAGAGAGGGGGGGGGGGGTTAGTTTCAAGAAATAAAAAATTTCCAACCAATTCTTTAAATAATTTTGTGTATCATCTGGATCTGCATATTGACTTTCATTATCGTTTAATATTTTGTTGTCAGTTTTATTATGATGTAATACAAGCCTAGCTGTATCTATTAGCTCATTTTGTTGTTCTTTGTCATCGACAGAATCGAAGGGAATTTTAAGCAAAACGTGGGATTGGGAAGAACATAGGCGACCCTGAAAATATATAAAATTAGAGTAAAGCGGCCGATCCCGTTCCAGAAAAGGCAAAAGATTAGATGGGACTTGATCCTGAGAATTCTCCGATGGAAGCTTGTTAACCGTTCATTTCATACTATTTTGTAATATTTGCTAGGCTGATGGTAAACTTAGTTGATTTTCCACAAGCATCGGGTATACCTTATGACACTATTTAGAATCAAAATTATTTTTCAAGACATAATACGTAAGTCCTTTAAACATTACCTTTTTAGTATCAATTTTTCTTCTAGCTCCTTGCAATAATTGTTGTAACAATAATGATTTGGAATGGCGCAAAGTTGAAGGGGAATTATTAAAAGAAATTGTTGCTTTAGATGTTAAAGAAGATGTTCCATTTTTGTAACAATTTTTGGATGTATTTTTTGGTGGAGATCTTTTTTGGCGAGAAGAAAAGAAAATTGAACGAAGGCATAAACAAAAGGCAGTTATTGAAAGACATAATCCAAGGAAGATAACTAAAAATAATAACAAAAGATTTTGTAAAAATTATTAACTTTTTTGACGACTAAGAATGATCAGCTAAAATAATGCCCCTCTAAATATATGTAAATTGGCATAATTTCCCGGGTTTTATTTTAAAGGGAATATGGTAAGCAAGATAGTCGTAGAAATTATGCCATCGCTATCCGTAATTCAGTTTCAAAAATCCGATTTATTATTATGTCTAATACAAGCCCTAATATCCACCCATCTATCGAAATAAACTTACATATAACCATTAAATAACAAATTAAAGATTTATTAATAATATTATCATCTGATGAAAATTCTATATAATCACTTTCATCATCTTCATAAGAAGTTAATAAAAGGTCTTTTTCATTTTGAAGTAAATCATAATTGTCAATTAAAGATTCATCCTCTTAAATTCAAACAAAAATTTCCCAATATTTTCCCCCTACCAACCGGTTTCAAATTTAATTTCACTTAATAATAACCAATCCGCATTTAAACCAAAAAATAATTCAATTCGTAAACGAGATGCAATTCTTTGAGGAATTGGAATACGTATCCAACGAGCATTTTCGAATTGGGAATCTTCCGGGAATTTTTTCTAAAATTAAATTTATTTTTTTGGATTCCTTTATTTTCCAAATACCTCAAGAATTCGAGTTGAGAATTCCCCTCCAAGTGGTGAAAAATGGAGACGGACAGAGCTAAAAATATAGGCACCCCGCTTTCGAAAATTTGAAGTATAGAGTAAAATTGCCGACAAATTCTGTTTTCGTTTAAATAAAAATTCGAGAGGAACAAATTGGCCTTTAAATAAATAAATTTCGAAATCAAAATTATTCTACCTATTTTCTGACTTTTATGCCAACCAATCCAATGACTTGGAAATTCTTCAAAATTATCCTTCCCTACAATTCCATCAAAAAGTTGTCCTAAACCCCCACGCAAACATACAATATCAGACAATAAATTATTTAAATTTTTTGAAGATTCTGGTAATTGTGGAACAGTCCAACCATCATAGCTAATATCTCGTAAATCCAAAGCATCGACTATGGCGCCAGTTGGTGCAGAATAGGAGATAATAGGCTCTGAATTTTTATATTTAATTAATTGGCTTAAGGAAGTTTGTAGCCTAATAGAGATTGACTTTTCTTTTAATTTTTCCTCCATATCAATTCGAATGACTAAAGAAGCTTGAATACTAAAGGGACTTTAAAGAAGTTACAATCCAATTGCCAAATACAACTCAATTGTAAATGTACTTTATAAGGGAGATCTATAACTGTACTATGAGCATAGAAAATAAATATTTAAACAAATACCTTTATATAAACACCCATAAAGTTCAAAACGTAGACAAACAGTTCGAATTGATTCACTCACTGGAATTAATCGCACTAATTTGGCAATTATTCCTCCGTCTAGTAGTCGAAGAACGGCGGTTTGGGTATTCGAATTTGCCGAAATAATCTTTAAAATTATTTATAATTAAATTATTTTTTGATTTCAAATTTTAAAAATATCTTATTATTCAATTTAAATTTCAGTTTTGTCGAAATTCTTTTAAAAAATATCTCTTCCGCAAGACGCTTCATTAAAATAAGATAACAAATTATCCCTCTCAAAAATATGTCCATAACATCCTTTATTCTACATTTTCCATAATTTTTGAAATTTTTAATTATTAAGAAAAATTAATACCCTCCCAGGGTTGGGTCTCCCGAAGGTCGAGAGACCTTCGAGAGACGCCCTGGGAGTCTGGTGCTGAACTTAACTAAAACCCTTTAAAACAAAACTTTAACAAAATATTTTTATTCAACAAAAATGGGAAAGTTAAGTGGGGAGGGGAAGGAAGAAAAAGCCTTTTCTTTTTAGCTGTTTTTTAATACTACTGAAATTTTTTGGGCTTTTTCTTTCTTTTTATAAAGCTGAGGGAACGTGAGGGAAAGCTGAGGGCAACAGCTGTCAGATCTATAACATTAATGTTAGTTTAACAAAATATTCCAAATATCCGTAAAAATTATGTTTCTAAATATTTAGCCAAAAATTCTTGGATTTTTTTCACAAGTTTTAGATAACGTTATAATTTGAAATAAATATCCAAAATTTATTTAATATATCCCCTTATATCCCTCCTACTTAAATATATATTTTATTTCAAATTTTATTTTTCCTTTCCTCACTTTCCACATTCATTTTCAATTTTTCCTTTTCCTATTTTGGTCATTTTCTTTTTCAATAAAAGCATCTTCTCCCCCCTTTAATGCTTCATCAAAGATTCCGTTCACTATTGTGAGACAATTTCCGCTTAAATTCTTTTCAATGCAATAATACTTTTTTCTTTATAAATTTTCTAAAATGTCATGGTTGCCAACCAATTGCTTTGGACATTTAATGCGCACATTTTTATTTAGGACAAAAGTAGGAAAAGAAGTATTGAAAATAAGAATAAATGAGGGGAGGATTTGTTAGCTAATGGCCAAAAGAATTGCCTATTATGTAAGAAAGATATATTTTAGAAGAGAAAAAATGTTTATAGGAAAATTTGAGAATTTTATAATATATCAGAGGTATTAGGATCTTTGGGTCGGGGATTCTGGAAATTTTTCTGTCGGTAGGCTCCCTGATGTATATTGAAGGAGATAAGTAACAAAAACAGATTTTTTAAAATTCATTTTTAAATGTCTCTAAACTAATGTCTAAACTAAATTATCTAAACCTAATTCGTCTAAACTAACATCCATTTTAAAACAGTGCTATGTATAGCGTGATTTTTTTCAATACTAAAAAGTATTGGAAAATAATGCCGAGAATTATTTTAGTGAGAATGTGGTAATAAAAGTTTCTTAAATTTTGAGAATAATTTATTTAAGATCTACAACATAACAAAAAAATTTTTTAAAATATATGAGATTTTTAAAGATTTAAAATATAAAGATTTTCTACATCCGTCTAAAAAGGTTCCCCTTTCCTATTTATTCTAATTTTAATGTAAATCCCCTTCTATGTGTTATCTTTATGTTTATTATTATTGTAATCCAATGTGTTGTCAATTCAAACAAAAGTGTGCAAATCGGAGAAAATAAAGAAAACTATAGAGAAATACACAACATTGATGGCCTTGACTTGTGCCGATTTTCGATTAAATATAAATTTATGTTTTATTTATAATCAACATTGAGAGAGGGGTTTAATAAAGGAACATTTTTTGATGAAAATAAAAGGGAAGAACATCAAAATATACTTGAATTTTAATAAAAAGACAGACGACATGACAAGAGGGTTTTTATAAAAAAAGATGATGAACGACAGATGCGCGGAGATATTCACAAGTGAAGAAAAGGGAGATTTAGATTTTTATGAGGATAGATTTAAAGAGAGATTTTATTTAGTCAAAATAAAATTAAATAATAAATTAATTATGCAATTTTTAATTAAATTTAAAATAAAGATTTTATTTTTTGATAATTTTGCTTGAGAGTTTTTTGATTATTGTTTTGAATAGCTGAATAGTTCAAAATTTCAAATCTTTTGATCTTCGAGGAAAACAATATTTGAATAACGATGATTTTAATACGTGAATAGAAGAGTTTGGACTTTTTATGTGAAAACTAAGCCGACAATGTTGAGGTTAATACCAAAATAGTTGGAGGTAAAACAAGCGAAAAATATGTGAGAAACGGGGCTCCTAAAATTCAAAATTTCCAAATTTTTGTGGGGGTTACCAAAGTTCAGGAATTATCGTAATGACACATCCTACACACATATTTTCTCAGCTAATTTATATAATTTTTACCTCATTTCCAGTGCTGTATCGTGCCCAGCGACCCAATGATGGACGCCAATATTCGATCATGTAAGCAGATGGAAATTCTAACCCTCTCCCTTTATCCCAACGGCCTTGAGTACGTACCTAAAAGAACATTTATTTATTTTTATTATTCTCTCCTAATTACCCCAACAATAAAATATTCATCTGCTAATTCTACTTGAATCCATTCATGGGATGTAGCATTAATTTGAGACGATGGACACCTAAAAAAGAATTATTTTAAAAAAAGTGATCATTTAGATGGAAGAAATTAATTTATTTAAGAAAAGAGCAAAAAATCAAGTTTGTAATAGGACTGGATTGTTGTTTGATATATATGTAGGTAGTCCAGGTACTATTGTAATTAAATTACAAATCCTGAATTTAGATGATAAAGCCAAAAATGGAAGGGATGCCTGATCAGTAGGAACTCACAAAATATGCACAAAAAATGGCAAAATATGCGCATATAATTATTTAAAAAAGTGATCATTTATATGCATCGAAAAACATGCAAAATATGCACTGAAATATGCAAAATTTCCCAAAATATGCACAAATATGCAAATATGCACGAGAGTGCCGAAATATGCAGATATATGCATTAGGAACCGGGTCTCAAAGTGCTCGGACCTTGTAAAAACACCATTTTTGAGCTTCTTATTTCAAGGCATATCGCATACAAAACATGCATTTGCATGTTTTGGATAACAACAAATCTTTAGAAGGTTATTTTGACCCATTACAGCTCACTTATCAAGGAAGCTCACTTATCAAGGAAGGTTTTAAATAATAATATTTAAAACAAACCATGCACCACTACCACTTTCAGTGTTTAACCTAAAATTAAATATTTAAAAGTACATTTGTTAATTTAAATTAATTTAAATATTTTTATTTTTTTCTCCTTCATTTATTCAAATATTTTTCCATTCATCTTCTTTTCTATTTTTATAGCAAAAAGTCACAAAACAAAAAAAAGTAAAGTAAAAACAAATAAAGAACTTAAAAAAAGTTTTTTTTTACTTTTTACTAAAACAAAATAAAAATTCATATGGGAATTGAGGGGAAAAGAGAGTGGACACAAAAACAAAAAAAAAATAAATTTATAATGCAGGCTAAAACATTAATTCAACTGGAGCTTATTTTTTATTCAAAAAATAAATAAAAGAGAATAATTTTAAAAAATAAATATTTTAATCAACGATAAAAAAAATTAAAATATAAATTTTAAAATTTGTTTACCTCTTAGAGGGATGGTCAGGAAGATTAATCGAGTTTTATCGATAAAAACTCGGTAGTTTACCTACTCTTACATAAAATTTTAGAATTTTGTTAAATAAAAAATTAATTTATAATAAAGCCCGGCTCGATTAGATTTTTTTCGATTTCTAATCAAAAATACCGTTAGTTGCTCTATGATAATATCTTGTAATACTTAAATAAATTTATTTTCCAAATTTTAATATTCCCCCAAATTTTTCCATTTTCTATTATTTATTTTCTTTTTATTCTTATGTGCTAAACAAAGGATTAATTACACAATAGAAAAGAGATATTTTGCAGATTGTGAACATTTATATAAATTTTAGACTTAATCCCTCCAAATATAGAGAATGAAAGAGGAAAATAAAAATATATATAGGGAATTTAAATTTAAAAATATTTTTAATTAAAAATAACCTAGAATGTATTGGGCTTGTACTTAACGGATCGAAGGAAGAAGAGGCGCTTATCTGCTCATCTAAAATTCGGCCGGATTCCATTCCAAGTGATTGAATACATTCATCTATTTAAATTTAAATTTTTAGTAATTTTTTAAATTTTAGTCTTTCCAAAAATTTTTTTGTTTAAAAAACATTTTCCCCTTTTAAAAACATCATTTTTTATTCACCCTTTATATATTTAAATATAAAGTCCATTAAAAGCCCCCTTTTTAATCAAACATTTATATTAACTTGAGGAGGAAGTGGAGGGAAATATTAAATGGCTTTTTAAGTGGTTTCTCTTTTTTTTAATAATAAATAGTACAAAAATTTTTGTTGGTTTGTAATTATTTAAACAAAAAAAGAAGAAATTATTCTTTTCTCAACATCAAAAAAATTTTTTTGAAAAATAAATGTCTGTTTTTTCTTTAAAAATTATTTTTTTTTTATTCTTAATGTTTCTGAAGAACCTTTTGACCTTCTGAGAAAGAAAAGAAAAAAATACAATAACTAGATACTTATTTTTTAAAGTATAGAGAGTGTAGTGACTATTATTAATTATTTTGGGTCCAAATAAAAGGACCCCTTGTATTTTATTTTTATAAAAATGAGGAAAACAATAAATATAAAGACAATTTTAGCACCTTCTATCAAAAATAATATCTTTTGTGTTATTCGGGGGGGGGGGGGGGAGGAGGAGGGGGAATACAAGAATTGGTTTTTAAAGGAAATAAAGTAATTTATAGTTAAAGGTAGGGTTGGGGCCCGGTCCGGTCCGAAAGATCGAAAAAATGACCCGAAAAAATGCGGCCCGACTCGAAAACCCCAACTCTAGTAGAGGGAAAAAAGGTTTGAAGTATTTTTATTTTTAAAAAAACAAAATTCTTTTCTTAATTTTAAAGATAATTTTCTAATTTAATTAAGAAAAATTAGAATAACAAAAGGAATTAACAGCCAAGTGATATAAATTTAAAACAAAAATATTTTTGTCTTTTTCTCCAAAAAAATATTTTCCATTATACAATCCCCCCATAAAAATATTCAAAAAAAAGAAAAGATTTATTTCTATCCCCTCCTTCGTTCAAAAATTTCCTCCAACATTGAATGCGCATTAAAACAGAAAAATATTTAACCAAAAATTCTTTAGCCGAAAAGAGATTAATATTTTTAAAAAACATACACTTTCTCCTCTTATTTTTAGCTTTTTATTCAATATTTTTTATGTTTTCTTCATTTTTCTTCTTGTCTAGTGTTAATCCCTCTAAAGCGAACTGCGCGTCGTTTTTTGCCCTAATTTTTGGACTCTTCTCCTTTCTAATCTCCCTTTTGGGGAAACCCGTAGAGTCAAAAATAAATTTAAAAAACTAGTATTTTATTTAATATTTGAAAATTTTTAATTATTTTAAATATAAAAAAAAAGTATTGGAAGAGAATTAAGAAAAAAATTTTGTTTTGGGACAGGAAGCTGTCTTTGATATTTACCAAAAATATTTTTGTTTTCCATATGTATGATTGAAGTAAAAGAGAAAATGCAAAGGGAATATCTCCTCTAAGAAATATAAACAAATTTATGATTTAAAGATTGAAGAACGCGCAGGAAAACCCCACTAAAGAAAGTGCCAATGAAATAAAAAACAATGAATCTGTCTAATTGTTTAGTAGAAAATTCCAATTCTCCAAGATCGGAGGAATTGAGGACTTATTGTCATCTCTCTGCAAAATTTTTATCTTCTATCCCTCTCAGAGATTATCGTAATTAAAAATAAATATTCAAAATCTAAATAAAAAAATACAGAAAATTCAATCAGATAAATATTTATTTCTTTATTTATTATTTAGAGGTGTCTGTTAGATGTAAAAAACCCCATAAATTTATAAGTTCGCCACCCTCAACAATTGTTCATCTAAAAAGATCCAAAATCAAAAAATTTTTCATTTGGAGTACTGTATTTATGGGGTGTCAAAATATAAAGATTTAAAAGTGTGAAAATCCAAAATCCAAGAAGTAGTAGAGAGAATATAGACAAGTGTTCGGAAATAAAAGATAAATCAAAATAAAGATTTAGAAAAATATATCCAAGTAGTACATTACTGTAATTTTAATTTGGATTGCTAACTAGGGTCACACAAACAATTCAGAATAAAGATTAACTGTTACCCACGATTTTCAGTTAATCCACATTTTAAAAATCCGGTTTTCGGTTTTGAGTTTTAGAAAAAAAATGCTCTTTTAAAATTTTCGGTATTTTAAACTTTGTAAAAACGGTTGATTTTTGTCAAGAAATATCAAAATTTCGGCTTTAAAACCGGTCGTGCACAACACTATTACAACCATAAATATGATGGGGACAAAATTTTAGGGGCAAAATAATTAATATAATTAGCATAGAAATTTAAACACATTATTTTAATTTTTCTAAATTAAATTTTTCCCAATTTTTCAGAACAGTGACATTTCGATAAATCTTTTTTTAAGAAAGTTTAAAAACAAAAAAGAAAGGCGGCAATCATTTAAAAAAAGGAAAATTTTGTAGAAGCTAAAAAGTGCCGCGATGATTGATGTTTTTAAGCTATTTTAAACATATTTTTTTAGTGACCTACAAGAAAAACAAAGCTTATCTTTAAATAAAATAATTACAGATTTTTATAAGATTTTGAAATTTATGGTTGAATAAAATAATTAAGGGAGCAGGTCCGGGACGCCCTGGTATTGCTCGAAACGCCCCGACGAGCTGAATGAAATCGTACCAGGGCGTCTCAAATTCGACAATTTTGAACAAAGTTATAGCTCTGCGGTACTTTGAGGTGTACCAAATAATTAAATATCTCGACTATTTTTGAAACAATTTTAAAACATAGATAACTCTTACATTGAGGAATAACTTAATTTTGTGGTATCTAAAAATTAAGTTTATAAAAAATAAAATTAGAAAAAATAATTAATCATTAAATATTCAAAATTATTTTTAAAATCCAAAAAAATAATTATTCTTCACTTTTCTTTGTCAAATACCGACTATTTAATTGGTTTGAACAGAAAAATAAAGGTTAAACTAATGCCAGAAGCTTTGGCTTTGAAAAAAGGATAAGCGAACGGATGGATGAGTGGAAATGAATATAATAAAAAATTTAAAAAAAGAAAAACCGACTCAAAAAATAATTTTAAAAATAACCGGAAGTTGGGGAATTATTAATTTAAAAAAGCCTACCGATATTTGGGAGGGAATTTATTCTTTTAAAAATTGTGAGAAATATTAGAAAAATAAATGTAATAAAAATTGATGAAAATTGTGAAGTAAAAAAATTAAAATTAGACATTTAAAATTAATTAATAAATATCTAAAATTAAATAAGAATTAAATTAAAATTTAAATTTAAATTAATTAATTAACAAATTTAAAATTAAAAATTAAAAGAGGATAGTGGACAAAGCAGAACACACAAGTGTGAAAAAGGAGGAAAAGGGATATTTGCAAATTTAGGAAAAAGGAGAAAGAGAGAATGGACCGCCCCAAAGGGAAGAGGC